TAGTGTATCTTCTAGATATATGTAATATCTCAATTTGGACCCATTTATCCAATTCGGCTATTGAAGAATAGAATTGGAGAAGAAGAGAGAAATAATAATACGTAAGAGAAACCCCCATTATGTTTATGGGTTGATTTACATGGAATATATATAGAGAAATAATACGAGGTAATATAGTTTCACTAGGTAACTAAATCCTAACTAATCTAGGTAATCGAATCATAATATAATCCTAATATTCTATAATATCTAATAATATAATATACTCTAATATCCAACTCCATATTTTAAAGCAAGATGATCATAAGATATGTTTTTTTGGCTTGTATGTATCAAAAACTGTATTTTTGCAGAAAACGAGTAGAAACTAGAGCACATTCCACGGAATCCAGATGATGATGTGGAATTTGACACCATAAGGGTGGAGGTGTAAGAAGATTCATAGTTGAGGGATAAATGTAATTACCTAAACATGAGGAGTTTTTTCGTAATTTGACCATACCTCAGGGGTGTGGTTGTAATTTAACCCATAATAAATTACTATTTCATTCATTAAGCATCTGATTTCGTAGGACCGACTGTCCCCTCGAAAGTTGTAATTTAATATTTTTCTAGTTTCCCACAATTAAAAGCTTATTCCCTAATTTACATATTTTCACGTTTCTTTCTCTCTCTAACTCTCTCTCTCTCTACACCACAGCCTGTCATAATCTTTAATTGATGCAATAACTTCATTATATAAACGCTGCACTCAGAACCACTAAATTTAATCATAACACTTCATCATCTTAATTCTTCGTTCAAGCTTTTCTTCTTATCCATCAATGGCGGCCGCCAAAGAAGAACAGAAGCGCAGCCTGCACATAGTAATGTTTCCATGGCTAGCTTTCGGACACATAATCCCATACCTCGAACTCTCCAAACTCATTGCTCTAAAGGGCCACAAAATCTCTTTCATCTCAACCCCAAGAAACATCGACCGCCTCCCTAAAATCCCTCCAATTTTCGCTTCCTCCATTGACTTAGTCAAACTCCCACTCCCCAAACTCGACGAGCTCCCAGAAAACGCAGAGGCAACAATGGACATCAATGGCGGACAAATGGACTTTCTCAAGAAAGCCTTCGACGGGCTCGAATCCGGGATGACCCGTTTCCTGGAGGATTCGGATCCTGACTGGATCATCTACGATTTCGCTCCACACTGGCTGCCACCAATCGCGGCCCGACTCGGTGTTTCCCGGGCTTTTTTTCTTATAATCAACGCTTGGTTCCTAGCCTTCTTCGGGCCGGCCGACGCGATGATTAGCGGGTCGGATTACCGAACCAAACCCGAAGATTTCATGGTTCCCCCCAAATGGGTCAAGTTCGACACTAAAGTGGCTTACCGGCGCTACGAAGCTAATTGGATGGTCGGGACGGGTCAGAAGAACGATTCGGGTGTCTCGGATATCTACCGTAGCGGTAAAGTTATCGACGGGTCGGAAGCGATTCTTGTGAGACACTGCTGTGAATTTGAACCGCAGTGGTTAGCCCTACTCGAGGAGCTTTACCATAGCCCTATTGTTCCGCTCGGGTTAATGCCACCTCAAGTATTGCCAGATAGCAAAGATGAATCGGGTGAAGAAATATGG